AAAGTGAGAAATGAACAGGAAACTGAACTAAAAACAACTCAAGATACAAAGCCCTAGTTGCTGATGATTGTGTACTAATCTTCATTAATTTAACATACCTTGCTTTTCTAATTATGTTGAAAGGTTGTATCACTTTCCCATTATATCATTTCCCATTGTATTACACACACACACGCACACACACACACACACATTCTTGTTGTGCCAGAAACTAAGAAAGTGCTCAAAAAGCAAACTGATAGGGGTGTTTCAAAGGGATACAGAAGCCAACCGAAAGTGTTCGCAATGGCCAAGGGCAAAACAATCTGAGCAACAAAATAAGTGACCTAATGTAATGTATCCTGGATAGGAACTGGAACATAAGAGGAAATTTAAGTAACAGTTAAATATCAGGTGGGTGAGTGTGTTCTGGGGGTGCGGCCGCTGCTGCCACCACCGTGCAGAACCAGGGCAGGAGCCACGGCTGGGGGTGGGAGGGAGGCCCGGACCTGGGTGGGGGGGGATAGAGTCCCAGAAGTGGGATAACTGGATCAGAGGGTGGTTATCCTGTGTATAATAGTGTGCGTCTCACTGCACCTTCAGTAGCACTGAGCAGACCGTCGGTATTTAAACAGACCACATGATGCATGAGTACAAGCTAGTGGCCCTTGGTTTATAGGACACATGGGAGGTCTGCTCTGACAGTTCAGGTTGTTCCCGGAATTTTTGTTGAAAAATATGACCCAACGATAGAAGATTCATACAGAAGGCAAGTTGAAGTAGATGGCCAAAAGTGTATGCTCGAAATCCTGGACCCAGCAGGACAGAGAAATTTACAGTGATGAGGGATTTGTATATGAAGACTGGACAAGGATTTGCACAAGCAAATTCTACTACAGCTCAGCCCACGTTTAATGACTTACAGGACCATTTGATGGGTAAAGGCCACAGAAGATGTTTCAGTGATTTTGGCTGGCAATAAATGTGACCCGGAAGATGAGGGAATAGTTGGCAAAGAACAGGTCAGAATTTAGCATGACAGTGGCGTGACTGTGCCTTTTTAGAATCTTCTGCAAAGTCAAAGATCGACATTAATGAGATATTTTATGACCTGGTCAAAACAGATAAATAGGAAAACACCAGTGGAAAAGAAGAAGCCTAAAAAGAAGTCGTGTCTGCTGCTTTAGACCCGCAGTAAGCAGTAATCCTGGGCCAGATTACAGGAATGAACTGGTGCCTAACTGGGAAGCGCCAGCATTCCACACTTCAAAAATTAAATCTGAAGAGGCTTCTCCTGTTTTATACATTTTGTGAATAACTGAAATCTTATAATGGTTTCCACAAATTCTCTGGAGAAAAAAAACAAATGCTCTCTGTATAGCTCTTGGAA